TGTTTTCTGACCGTCTCTGTATGGACGGCCCCTGACGTCTGTCTGTTTTCTGACGTCTCTATGTGGACGGCCCCTGACGTCTGTCTGTTTTCTGACGTCTCTGTGTGTACGGCCCCTAACATCCGTCTGTTTTCTGACCGTCTCTGTATGGACGGCCCCTAACATCCGTCTGTTTTCTGACAGATGACAACGAGGGGAGCAGCAGCGACACCGCCCCCCTGTTCCAGATGGCAGGCGATGGCAAGGACACGGACGACATCAAGATCCCCATGCTCTTCCTGTTCAGCAAAGAAGGCAGCATCATCCTGGATGCCATCCGGGAGCACGAGGAGGTGGAGGTGCTCCTTTCCGACAAAGCAAGAGACCGAGGTAACAGCCCGGGTTGCTGTGCTAGTCATGTTAGCCCGGTACCAAAGATGCTGCCAAGTGACGTGGGCTTCCTTTCGGGTTTTAGTTTGAGTTTGCTGGTAAAACAAGTAAAAATTTGAGAAGCTTGTTGAGAATTTTTCTCTTGGAAATAATAGTAATTTATTATTTTTATTTTTTATTATTATTAGCATTTATTGTTTTTTTTACTATTTTTATTAAATTATATATATAATAAATTGTTTTTAATTTACTATTAATATTGTAAAATATTAATAGTAATTTATTATAAATAGTAAACTATTTGCTTTGAAGGCCGAATGAGAATGCTTTAGAACTAACTCCGTTTTACCTGTGGGGTGCTGTATACAATATGGTAGGAGTCTCACCAGCATCTACTCTCGGGCCGCTCTGGACGAAGGCGGTAGAAATGTAGGCGCTTCTCTGCGTTTGTCACGTGGATTTTTATATTACAGGAGTTACAAATGGCTTTGCCTGATGAGCAAGAGACCTTAACTCATAAGAATATATGGTCTTCCCGAGGCTGAAGGGTTGTTAGGAATTTGCACGTTTAGTTGAGACCACCGTGTGAAGGCTGCCATGCTCACGCCTGAGCATTGGGAAGGCTGAGGGACAGAGGCTCCGACCCTGCTCCTGGCTGCGGTCTTTTCAGGAGGAGGCCCTGAGAGGAGCTGCCTCTCCCACCCCTTACTGAAGGGCACTGGGTAATCTGTGTGGGGTTGTTACCGCCCACCCGCCTGCCCGCCCGCCCACAGGGTGTTTAAAAAAGGCTAACAGAACAGTGCTCTCCCAGCCAGTGCTCTGTCTTCTTGTGTGGCTTTGCTCTATGAGCGTCTTTGAACTGTCAGATATTTAAGAGCAGTGGAGAGAATGAGTCAGATGTGGTAGGATGTGTAGTTGGAACAGAATACAGGGAGGTCCTGATCTTCTTAAACCCGCCTGCGACTTGATTTCTTTTTTCCTGGGGCCCTTTTTCAAAATTCCCATCTTTCCCACTCTGCTGTGCATCAAACACAGGCAAATTAATATTAATCTGTATAACACTTTAATGCCTTTGCTTTCCCTGTTTTCTGCTACCATTGGAATTTCAGCAGCAATATTAAAAGGTAAAATGATTCCAAGCTACATTATTAACAGTAGTAAGTATCTTGCATTCATAAACCAATTATGTATGTATGTGTGTGTATTTCACATACATACATATATAATTTTGTTTCGCTGAGTATCATGATAATATATGACTTAATGTAATTAACAACTTCCATATTTAGTCAGTTGTCCCATAATATTCTTTATTGATCCTGCCATAACTAATTCTATAAATTATATATTCCATACTCTAGATGAATTCACTAGTCCAGGCCCCTGCAGGAGTCACTAACAGCAGCATTGTTGTATAAGAAATTATTCCTTTGAATCATTTGTTGTTTATAGACAAAGAAAAATATTTGACACATTGGCTTGTTGTATAAGCTCCTGTGGAAGTGAGGGACACTCATGGGTTGATCAAGACTGTGACAGTCGTAAAGAACCTGCTCCCCACACCAGGAAGAGGGGAGGAAAAACAGTTCTACTAGAGAGAAGTCACTGAGGAGCAGCATTCCCTTAAAAACCACAGTAAAAAGACATTATGTAAATGACACTTTGACGGTCGGTCCATAACTTTGTGAAGCTGTTAATGTTACAGTACTCCTTTACTAGAAGGATTTAAGGCTTGTGTATGGAATAGCACTTTGAGAAATGTACAGTGGTGTTAGCCAAGCCAACAAGTTATGATAATTAATATCTATCACTGTAAGAGAAATGAGTGATACTAGTCCCATCAGGTCACCCGCTTTATTCACTTAGGATAATAGTCTAAGAAGTTAGACTCTGTAGTGGTCACCGTTAGTGTGTCCCATACCATCACCCTATCATGCTCTTCACCTGCATCAGGAGGTGGAGGAGGCGCCCGCATTCTTCACTGTGTTGAGTTGGAGTCTGCAGCAGGGATCGGAATCCCACATTTAGACACACTCTCAGGCCTTGTAGCACAGCGACTCTTCACCTGCACTTGAGAGACATGGAAGGGGCCAGAAGCCCTTTCTGTGTCCTAGCTCTGGCTCGTGCGTTAGAATTGTGGAAGTTCCCTCAGTGATAAGCACCTAATCCAGGCAGCAGGATGTCTTCAGACCATCCTTCCAATGATGTCCCATCGCTTGCTGGTGGAGAAGGCCTTTCCACTTTCAGTACAGGAGATAGAAGCCCCAGACGAGCGCCCTCCTGTACCCACCTTTTGTCTGATAAGTGTGACTGTTAGGCTCTCTATACCTGACACTGTCCTTCTACCTGCTAGCAACAGTGTTCAGATATTACACATCCTTCAGAAGCCGAAGTTCCAGAAGTTTATCAGGTGGAAATGCTGCTTCCGTGGGGAACCACCAACTCCTGTAAAAGTTCAGTTGTCCACGCTCTGTTCTTGAGCAAAGCTTAACACTGTGTCTCTTAGTGTCTCATTGCTTCAAAAATTGAGGTTTTCAAGATATTCAATAATTCCAGCCCTGTCTCACAGACAAAAAAATGGGTTGGTGACTTTTAAATTGAAGCAGTTTACAATTGGGTGTTTCCTTAGTAGTGGGAGGAAAGCCTCAGTGTTTTAAAGTTCCCATGCACTGCCATGCTTCCAGCCTCCAGAACAGCTCTGTGTGCCCTAAAGGCTGGAGGCAGATGCTTTCCAGGCAGCTGCTGTATTAGGTGTGTCTGGTAAAGAGGCAGACAGAAAGTGGAGGCGGGATTCAGTGAGAAAGAGTCCACCTTGTAGACCGCCCTGGATTGAAGCCAAGCAGTGTTGGTCCTCAAGGAGCCCCTTCAAAGGAGGCTGCAGTTGGCTGCGGTCCTGGAGTTGACTGTGGAAGACCGTAGGAAAGGTCTGTTCCAGGGAAGATGACCTTGTCCATGGGCAGATGGCTGTCTGCCTGGAGAGGAGCAGCCCAGTGTTGTGGTCAGGAAGCCATGCTTGCCTGCCCACCCTTCTCGAAACAGCTGTGTTTCTGTGTGGATTTACCTTCTGTTTCACATCTCTGTGGCTCTTTTCCTCTTCGAGAAGTTCAGCCATTCTATACCCAGTTCAAATGTCCCTTCTGAATGACTTCTTTTCCATTGTTAGCAGAGTGTAAGTTTTTGTCTTCAATATATTTAGTGATTATTGCATGATTGTTTATTACATAGCTCTTCTTAACCCGGTGAGCTTGCCTTTTAGTTACCGTAGAATGTGCTGGCGAATGACTGATTGTATAACAGTCAGACTCCTAAGTCTTCACCCACGTTACCTTCCCTTTGACTAGGAAAACCCACTGATGTTCTTTGGACCCTCGTCCAGTCTTTTTGTTTCTGTGTTTCTTCTGATTTGCCATATCTGGATCAGCGTTAGACCCTTTGGATTGGCAACAGGTGCCTGAGAGTGGAGACGTAACAAGGTGGCTGACCTCGGCTCCTTTGAATCTTTGTTCCTCTCAAAGCCCAGGCCGACTTGGCTGCGGCCGCCTCTGTTTCTTGTTCTGTGGGTTCACAAGCTTTGCAAGCCCAATAGGCGGCGCTTGGAGCTTGTGTACTTCTAACCCATTTGTTTATTCCCATACCAGTAATTTAGATTCTTTGTTTGGAATACATTTCACATGATAGCGCTTCCCTTACTGAATCTTTTTAGAATTCAATTTTGTATAGTTCAAAAATTAAAAGAAGGAGAAATGAGATTCTTTTTGGAATCATGTATTTGTGTTTTTTTTTTTTGTTTTTTTTTTT